AGAAGAGCGGCCTTTACATCGTCACCGAGTACATGGCCAAGGTGAGACCCCCACCCCGGGCACCTCCCGCTCTGCCCCCTTTGGTGTCCCCCTCACCCAGGGCTTCACCCCGAGGGACCCAACTGGGTCATCCCGGCTTGGGTGACATCTCCCTGGGACCACCGTGGTGTTTGGGGGGGCGGCAGTGCTGTTCCATTGCCCCATCACTGGTCTTTACATCGTCACCGAGTACATGGCCAAGGTGAGACCCCCACCCCGGGCACCTCCCGCTCTGCCCCCTTTGGTGTCCCCCTCACCCAGGGCTTCACCCCGAGGGACCCAACTGGGTCATCCCGGCTTGGGTGACATCTCCCTGGGACCACCGTGGTGTTTGGGGGGGCGGCAGTGCTGTTCCATTGCCCCATCACTGGTTCCAAAGGAGGGACATCATCTCTGGGTCCTGCCCCACGTGGAAGGGACGTCATCCCAGGGTCCTGCCCCACGTGGGATGGCATGGCGGGTGGGATGCTGACCCTGGTGGCACCATCTCTCTTCATCTCTCCAGGGCAGCCTAGTAGACTACCTGCGGTCGCGCGGGCGGTCGGTCCTCAGTGCAGACTGCCTGCTGAAGTTCTCCTTGTAAGTCTGGCAGCAAGGCACCGAGACTTAGCTGTGCCCACCACCCTGACCTGCACCCACTGGTGTTTTGGGGCCACCTCGCTAACCCCCTTCTCCCCCCACCCCAACCAGAGATGTCTGTGAAGCCATGGAGTACCTGGAAGCCAACAATTTTGTCCACCGGGACCTGGCGGCGAGGAACGTCCTGGTCTCGGAGGACAACATCGCCAAGGTCAGCGATTTTGGGCTGACCAAGGAAGCCTCCTCCACGCAGGACACGGGGAAGCTAAGGAAGCTGCCGGTGAAGTGGACGGCGCCAGAAGCACTTAGAGAAAAGGTGGGTGAGCGGAGGTTGGGGGGGTCCAGGGAGATGGAACCCTGTTTCCCTCTGTCTGACCCCCCAAAAACCAGCTGTCCTGAGGGGGGGGAAGATCTGTTGCCCCCTCCCCGTCCCTACCTGAACCTGCTCACACGGCTTCTCCGGCTTCTCTCCCCCCCTCCTCCAGAAATTCTCCACCAAGTCGGACGTGTGGAGCTTCGGGATCCTCCTCTGGGAAATCTACTCCTTCGGGCGAGTGCCTTATCCGAGAATCGTAAGTGAAGACCA